AGAAGCAGAAGCAGAAGCAGAAGCAGAAGCAGAAGCAGAAGCAGAAGCAGCAGCAGCACGCATGTGCACACACACACATACACACACACACAAACTAGCAGGCAAAGCAGATAACAACAAGACCTGCTAAGAGCAGGAAAGTTGAAGAAAGAGACAGAGGGGCTAATTCTGGTTGCACAAGACCAAGCCTTAAGAACAGATGCATACAGAGCCAGAATTGAGAAGACAGCAACAGACAGCAAATGCCACCTCTGCAAAGAAGCTGAAGAAACAGTGGACCACCTAGTTAGCTGCTGCAAGAAGATTGCACAACTGACTACAATAGTGGACATTACAATACCCGGAGATAGCAGAATAGAAGAGAAAGGACTGGAGAAAATCACAAGATATAAAGACCTGCAAATAGAAATAAAATGACTATGGCAAAAGAAAGCAAAGATAGTATCAATAGTAATAGGCACCTTGGGTGCAATCCCAAAACATCTGGGGTAGCATTTGAAGACCCTTGGCATTGACAAAATCACTATCAGTCAATTGCAAAAGGCAGCTTTACTTGGAACAGTTTGCGACGATACTTTTAACACCATCAAACAACAACATCTGCCTATCCCAGGTCCTTGGGAACAACTCGATAGGTGGATAAAAATGCCAAATCCAGTCTAAACATCTGGCTGACTGTGCGACCAACAATAATAATAATAGAAGCATTATAAGACACAAGTCCATCAAACATGCTTGCAGGTTACCCTCCCCAGCCCCTCTGTGCTTGTGCTGGCCACTTATGCAACCCAAGCCTCGCTGAGCCTCCTTTGCACCCCCGTGCATCTTCCCCAAGTCTCACCTCCCTCACGCACCCTCCCCAATCCTTGCCATGCCTCCCTCACACCTTCATGCACTCCCTAGCACCCATCCCAAGCCTCACTGCGCCTCCTTGACCCTTGCCATGCCTCCTGTGCATCCTTGTGCAGCCTCCCTTGCACCCTCCCTGAGCCTTGCTGCACCCTCACATCCCCGCACACCTTTCCTGAGCCTTGCAGCACCTCCCTCATACTCTCCCCCCAACCCTCGCCATGCCTCCTGTGCACCCTTATGCACCCCTTCACACCCTCCCTGACCTGGCAGCAGCCACTTAACTGCCTGCCTGCCTGCTTGCGAGCTGTCTGGGATTTGCAACTTCCTGTCAGCTTCCCCACTGACTTGATTGTGGGAAGCCAGCAGGAAGTTGCCTTGCCTAAGAACTTCAGAATTCAGTTAACAATGGCAACTGGGACTGCAGGGATTGCTGTCGCTAAGCAGTGCAGTCATGCTTCCCGACTGCATTGATTAGTGCCAGAAATTCCAGTCCCAATTGCTGTCATAAATCTAGGACTATCTGTATAGTATTGGGTAGAGTACCATATAGCAAGAAGACTATAAAAATGTTTTATGTAATGAAATAAAGAAGATAGCTGGATCAGAGAATGGGATGTCTTAAGCATATCCTGATGTTTACCTGGTGGGCACACACTCTTCACATTAAATATGTTCACAGTGTATTAAGCCATGATTTGTTGAACAAGCCATGATTATTGGTTTCTATAATACATTCAATTAGAACCAAACAAACCACATTATGGCTTAACATGGTATGTGAACTCATTCATCAAGTCTAATATAGAGGCCATATTGCAGAAGCTTTGAACCTTGCCAACCAGGATAGGATGTATAGATAGAAGCTTGGAGGGCTTTAAAGTGGCTGTGGAGCTATAGAAGGATATTAACAGAAGTACATTTTCCAATTAATTCCTGGTTCTCTCTGTTCTATAATGGAAAGCAAGAAAGAATGAGGCTTTTGTGAATTTCACAAAGTTCAGTAAACCACATGCCCTAAATAAAAATAAGTTTTAATACCCCCCCCTTTTTAAAAAAAAGACTCAATTAGTCATACATTTTATATTTTGGACTTTAAAAAGTAATCATACCAAACATGGGGGGAAATCTTATACTTAAAAAAATACTCAAGAATGCATTAACATTTACATGGTTTGTAAACCAAACCAACCAACCAATCTACATACCTTTATTATTTCAGTCAAACTAAGAATAATGGAACAGAAAGCTAGATGATAACAAAAGGATGTAAAATGTCCACATTTTCTTAAAGAATAATAATATCCCAGTGAGAAATATAAATTGATCAAGTTTCTAAAATACTTACTAAGGGGAGGGAATACTCTTGATGGCATAATAGTGCGAAAGACTATGTATTCAGCATCCCTTGGTTTAAGCTGGGAAATAGGGAAGCAGTTTTATTGTGCAATTTAATATGTAGCTGAAAATCTACAAAGGGAATACTTTACTATGGACTCTTTACTGAAACTACTTACCTAACAATATTTTTCCAAGTCAACTTTTCACATTGGACTGTAGTATATAGTATTTACCTAAGTGCAATAAATGAGAGTAGCAACATGTGACTTTAATTGGATGACAATTCTAATATTAGTCTCAAGTTGCTTTAGTTTCACAATTACAGCAATCCGCTAAAAATGAGCACTAATGCCAAGGAAAGAAAAATGCTATGAAAAGAAAATCTAGGATAGTAAACTGGAATTGCCTACTTAGGATATAATTAATAGTTTTGTTTTACAAAAAAATTTTACTTGTAGAAAATATATTTGAGTAATAAAAAAAGTACATTAATATCCAATGTACATACAACATTCAATATATACATTATGGTATATAATACAGGGACTTTTAAGTGTAAAATTAAACCAGTATAAGAAAACTGACAGAAAACCATGAAATCATTTTACAAGTCATTAAGGAGACAGAAATCATCCACAGTATTTACAATATAAGTAAATGGGGCTGATGTGCACTTTGGTTCATTGAAGGAAGAATGCAATAAAAACAGAAAATTCCACTGAAGCACCAAACATCTATTCAGATCAAGAATATTCTACTCAGATTTGTTTTATAGTTTATAACAACCTTCAGGAAACAGCAATTTTGGCTACTGGCAATAAGATTAGTCATAGGCCTTTGCTTTGTGGATATTATTCAGTTTAATATTCTTATTTCTTGGTATAGTTAATCTTGACATCTTCCTTTCAAAAAGGCATTCTCGACACGAAGTACTTCAACTTCCTGCAAAAAGAGAAAAATAATATTCAGCTAAAACATAAATTTATAAATGTAGCCATTTATTCTTGCTTAGATTAAAAACTCAGATGTAAGAGCAAAACTGCTAAGCTCATGAAGAAAGATACTATTACTTGAAAGAGCAGCTGGAATATATGAAGCAAAAGTTGTTGAATGGGACACAAACAAGTTAGATGTATCCTAGTTATAGTGCATTCCAAACCTGCACCCTTTGAATGTATTGGGACCGCAATTCTCAAAACTTTCTGGCCATCCCAATATATCTGGAAATTGCCTGATTTGGGAAGGCATGGAATTTCTTCTGAGCAGAAGGTGTGCAGCATTAAGAGAACAAAAGAATCATTACTAAACATTTGCCTTAGCTCCTAAAAAGAATAAACTTTAAAACCCAGTTTCAATTCTCTTCTAATCTTACCTCTATTAATTTAGCATTCTCTTTTTTCAACTTCACAAGATACTGGATCTTCTGATTTGCATTTTGGTGACCAACCAGCTTTCCATTCTCTTCAGCAAGAGACTCAATCTGTTTCCTTAGCAGGGACATCTCCTGTTTTCAAGAGAAGCAGTGGAGAAATAGGGAAATTTACTTGAAGATACCCTCTAACAACTTAATCAATACAGTATACAAAACTTTCCAATAAAACCAAAATTATAGCAATTCTGTCTTTCAACTGTACTGCAGGATTTCTATATTTTTCTGTTTCAAACTCTGAGGTTCATTCACAGTATGACAACTAACTCCAAAACTGTGCAATTACCAACCAATGTGCATTAATTAATACCGTTTCAATTTTTCCTTTTTCTTCAAACACTTCCTCCAGCTCCCGTGTCAATTGTTCTTTCTCTTTGAATGCCTTTGACTCTGAAGCTTTTGACCATTCCACTTCTTGAATAATTTCTTGAAAGGCAATCTCCTTGTTTCTAAGATCATTTTTGATGTTCTCTAATCTATGGAAAAAGATTTTAACATGAATTGTGAAGTTAACTGTCATACTTTTTTTTTTTGGTTACCCATAGCTTTACAGAAACAGTGTCAACTTTTTTTTGCAAAAGCAGGGATGTATACTTCTAAAAAACAGAAATTGGAAATTATTTAGCAGCTGCATCTCTGTGCTACTGGGCTGCCATAATTTACCAACAGTTAACCGTGGAATCCCATCTTGCCTGAACTATACTGCCTGCTGACATATTTATGGGACATTGTTTATGCACTGAATATTCTGACTGCTGACAGCTTGCTGAGACTAGGCACATGGGAGAAAACAAAGGCAACGTCAGGAAAACCAATGATCCCACTCCTAACTGAGGGTCTGGAGTGTATGAACAAAATGGTCTCGATGGAAAACTCGCTTGCTCCATCCTCACTTGGTGATACTTTGAATGCTGGACTGTGAGAAATTGAGAGCTCTGTTGCATATGCCTGCCCACTAAGGAGACCACAAAGCTAGGACTGATGGAAATAACTTCAAAGGAGGGGCATTTTTCCATGTTTCATAAACATTTCCAATTACATCAGGACTGTATTATTGTTTTCCTCATCCTCCAGACCCAATAGATTGTTTTTTAAAGGAACCACAACAAAAGATTGGGCAAATTACACAGCCATGTGGTCACCAGGAGTTGAGCTGAACTGAGGGAGGGTTTACTTTTTCATTGAAGGTTGAATTTTTTAACCACCTTAAAGCTGATCAGTGCATTTGTTCTGGAAATCTAACAAAACTCTTTCAATAATTCAAACTGACTCATAAAGGATAATTGTTAGTGAGTTTAGTCTGTTGGCCAGAGCAGTGTAATCCTGGAAATCTCCAATGAAAGCACTAAGGCTATGGGTTGTTACTGAGGTTGCAATTAGAAAGCTTAAAGAAACCAAGTACAAAGACATATAATTGTAATATATTCCACTGTAATCAATTCATTGATTTCCATGAACCTTCAATTCCAAATAGTTTATAAAATATACAATATTAGTTTTCTACTGCCATCTGCTGGTTGAAACCAAGGGATAGGCCACTTTTTAAAAAAAAGAAAAGCAACACTATTCTGCTTTAAATACTTGCTTTTTAAATCTTAAAATATTCAGTATATCCTTTTTACTTCTGCTTAATTTTAACTCGACATTATTACAATTATACATATACGTACATTTTGCTTGTTTAATAAAATACACAGTAGTACTGGTCAATACTATTCAAATTCAGCTAATCTACATTTAGCCATACTTAGTTAATCTCTATATATTTAGAAATGTTTCACTTACTCTGAAATAGCTTTCAGCATTTCTTCTACTGCTTTATTCTAGATAGAGGAAAATAAAAGTTTCATATAACTAGCAGGAACCATATAAAAACTGTTCACTGATAGTCAATCCATCTTCTGAAAACAATATGTCATCATTCTCTAGTTTATATTGTCTTATCTATAATGACAGATATAAGAGATAATATATATATATATAATCTCTTATATAATATATAAGTGATTGTGTAGGTCAGCTCCATAAAGGCAAGGAATATTACTTTTTTCTTGACTTTTCTCAAAATGCTCAAGAAACACTACTTAAACAAAAGACCAATAAACAGAGTTACATCCATAGTGAATGTCAAATCTTTATGAGATAGCCATCATTATATCAAAAGTTGCAATACCTTTGCCAGTCTCTCTTCAATTAGTTCCCTCTCTTTTTCTCTTAGGTCTTGAATATCTGGATATTTTGTACCACTGTAAAAACCAGTTTTGAAAAGTGCATTTTAATTTTAAAGCATGTGTTTCTTCATATTTACAACAACCAGTTTTATTATTTCCCTTACTGCCTCTAGAGAGTTGAGGTTTAAAACATGGTATCTGGCCATCAACTGAATGTTACATTGATGAAACATATTATAGAGCACAAAAGCTTGTTAGTTTTTAAGATACCAAAAGTCTCATAACACAGCCATCTATAAACAGGGCTCAGATTCAAATTTTTAGCAAATAACTGAAAACTGAAGTGTTCCTAGAAAGCCCCCATTTTAAAAATCACATAAGCATCTTAGCTAAGAAGTTTCATTTTATTCAGAAATGTAACGTAACACATTTCCACAAAGTAATTACAATATATATTTGTAGTTTCCTCCTGACATCTACTAAGATGGATATTGGAGTTTTCTACTGTATCTACTATACACCGGTTTAGGAGCCATACTATTATTAACAGTTGTTGTTTTTCTTTAGCCTTTATCCTGCTCCGTTGCGTAGGCTGCTTGTTTTGCACTGTGCTTGGCTAGTTCTTACAGCAAAGTTAACAGTGCATGATGTAACAAGGAATTTTGTTTTTAACATCTGGCCGCAGAACCTGATGCTGATTTGGGGTGAGCGGGAGTGACTGGTTCAATGCCACTTAACTGTTTTCCATACCTAAAACAAAACTAGAACTTGGGTCTCTCTGCTCCTAGTTCAACACCTTATCTATTACACCACACTGGCTCTCACTATCATTAATGCTAATCTAATCAATTTTTTAATCTAATCAAGACAAAAGTCCAACACCATTTATGGAATTATGGAATGACCCAAGCTAGAGAATCTTTAAAAACAGACTTCTGTAAGCGTGATACAGGATGGCAGAGCAGGAAACTGCTTCTTTATTTTAAAATATTTTAATGTAAGATAACCTAAAGTTAAGCTGATTTATACCTGGTCCTCCTCCCTCTTTTGAATTCTTCAAGCTGGCTCTGCAAATGTCTATTGTTTTCCATTAATACTTGCATTTCCAGACAAGTATTTTCGAAATCACATAACTGACCCTAAATCAAAAAGGATTATATGACTTAAAACAAGCATTTCATAATGGTTCAATAGCAAACCTGCATGTTTTCCTATAAACAAAAAACTGTTGACTAAAAAGAATTATGTTCATGTTTGGAAAGATTATATGGAATCATTTTCTTCAAGATTAATGATTTAACCCATGGGCTTTGTTTCCCTCTCTTGTTTAAATTAAAATAACTCCATCAGGACATTTAAAATTATATTTTTATAAGGACATCAAGTAGATTTAAACATTAGTAATAGGCCACTAATGATCAAATTCAATGTACAAAGTATCTGAATTATTTACCTTTAATCTTAATATTTCATTATTTTTAGCATCTCTTTCTTCATTTAACTCGGATACAAGACATTCCAAGGTAACTGCAGTGGCTCTCTGGTCTTCTATTTTCTGTTCACATATTTCTAACAGCTTTGCCAGATTTCTGTCATAGTTTGATGGAGTTTGGGGACTCTAATTCAGCACACATTAAAAAAAAAAGCACTTGAAAACATTGCATGTTGCATATAATACAATATGGTTGCTGTGGAAAAGTTTTACTTGACTTACTCTTCTGTTAAAAGTAATATATAAATGGTGTTTGCAGTAGACCTTTTGCCTTGTTTAAACACTAGAATCTCTTTCAACGTTGAAATATATTAGACATATACACTTCATGGAAGCTGCTGCATATGAAACAGTGAATTACTTTCTAAGAAATACCATACCTGTGGAGTTGCTTCATTAACAGATTCCATAACACAGTCTATTTGATGCATTTTCAGTTCATACTCATTTCTCCTGCTTTCCAGTTCTTCTGACTTTTTGTCCAACTATGGAAAACAGCCAATGTTTTAAAAAAAATCACAGAAAAATCATATTTATCTTCAACAGAAAGAGGAAAACCATGGTTCTAGACAATTCTGAGAACCTGAAACATTTGTAATTGCATGGTAGAATCTGCTTTTAATACTACAACTTATTAGAAAGCAATACCCTTAGCAAATTTTCTATGAGATCATAGCCAAGATCAGGGGTTTTCAAACTGTTTCAGGCCACAGAACCTGTTAGTATAAATAAATAAATCACAGAAACCCTGATGCTCTAGTAAAAGAAAATTGTCTGGATTTGAGTGAAAGGGTGTGTGTGTGTTTGCCCTTAGCCTTTCACGAAACTCCATCAAGTTTTCAGTTCCACAAAACAGTTTGAAAAACCTTAGATTACTTTTACACTGATGCATCAGTGCAAACACTTGGACAGAAACATTTCTCTAGCCATTAAGTGATTTACTTCATATTCTGAGAGTTTGCTATATATACTGTGATATTTAAATATGAACATATTCATGGTCATTTATTACTAAAGGAACTAATATTATGAAGGACTTAGTTGGAGCACAGCCAAACATATATACATTGTGAATGGCTTGGGAATAGGAAGTATTCAGGGGAATGGGAAGTATTCAGGGAGCTGTTTATATCAAACCTTAATGTAAAATCTGAGAATGATGTAACAAACATAATGAATTTGCCTTATTTTTGTATTAGCAGCCTCACAGTATATTGAGTGTAGTCTAGCACTGCTTGCTTCATATCAAGGCAAGAAATCAACAGGACTAATGTATGGCACCTTTTATTTCCCAAGTTTCAGTAAAGCCAAATAAGAAGACTTGAGATGA